TTGGATCGTTTTTTTTCGAAGGAGATGCTGGAGCAGACGTATCTATCAATGGAAAGTATTATCGAGCCATGATAATGGATATTTTAATTATATTTCTGATTGGTAACGGCATGAATGATTTTTGGTTTCAACAAGACCGTGCCAAAGCTCATATAGCTCGAGCCATGATCATTTTATGCGTCCTTTGTTTCCCGGACACTTAATTTCAAAAAATGGTGATTTCGACTGGCCTCCGCAATCACCTTACTTAATGCCTCTAGACTTTTTCCTGTAGGATTATTTGAAGTCTAGATTTTACTTAATTTGAACCTAACCACGGACCCTAGAAACTTCGAAAGATAATATATAAGAAGAAATGGCTCCTATTCAGCCGGAAACATTTCGAAAAGTGATGGGAAATGCCTAAAACGAGCACATTACACCATTCACTCTGAAAGCAACTATTTACGCGATATTATTTTTAAATAATAATCAGAACAAATTGCCATGTCTAAAATAGACGAAAAATCATTCAAAATTAATAATTTTTTTTTTTTTTTAATTATTACCAAAAAATACACCGAAGGTTTAAATGGTCCACCATGTATTTATGAGTAAAGCATATATTTTAAATACATAATTAATATGAATCTAGATTTTATTCCAATATGCGTTATCTATAAATGAAAGTTAAACAATTTAAAGATTATACTCATAAACCTAATTAAACCTTACTCCCTCCATTCCACCAAACACCATCGGAAATTGATTTTTTTTCAAATTAATAAAGCTCCCTCCAAAAATCAATCCTTGTTACGCCACTGTTTTATATATACATTAATAAAAGTCTTCCACGCTTTAATTTAATTTATAAATACCTTTATACGGAAGTCGGTAGTCTATAATACCAATATTATATTATTTATGACGGTGTTTACGGTCTTCTGGTACTGTTAAAATTGTAAGTGATGACAAAACATTTTTGTAAAATTACAAAATGAGCGTTTCGGAATATAAATTGTATGAAACTAACTACTTCTACACATTTTAAGTGTGCTAAATATAAAAAAAAAAATGCATTTGATGCATTTGCGTACCCTCGCATCTCGTAAATGATGCACCCGAATTTGTAGCTCCTATTAAAAACACAATAATGGTATTGTCGAACAGTAATGTCATGTTCTTTTATTTACGCATCATCGTTGTCGATATTTCGAAAATAAAAGCGATTATAATAATACCACGTTTATATAAAACGCTCCTTGGAGAGGGTTGGGAAAAGAGTTATTAAAATATTAAATAAATCGTACCAAACATACATCATCGTAGTATTATTTTTATAACATAAGTAATATAACCTTCGGGCACGTCATCGGTCGTATGATAATATTGTAATGCGGATGCAGTGAGTATATAATATTATAATATATTTTGTAGTACCTATTACGATAAATCGACCGACGGGGGCGAACCGTTCTATAAAATATATAAAATACGAACGGGACGAGACGAAGGGTTTTCCGGTGGGTAGGTAGGTACCTAACCTAATAATAATATTTTCGAACCTTTGATATAGTCAATTTCTTATTCCCCGGGTAAACGGCGGCGGTGGCGGGTGCAAAAGAGCGAATAAACGACGGGAAGAAATTGTTACACTCTTTGATGTCGGACGAAATTGGGCGCGCCGCAGCGGATGGCGGTGTCCCGTGAAACCGTACATATTATAGATATACAATATATATGTATATGAGGGGGCGCGTGATGTTGCATAGTGTGTGCGCACCGCAGAACACCCGGGGTGTCCGCAAAGGGGATTGGAGATTTTTTTTTCTTTGCGGCCCCGGAAGCCCGAAACGATTCAACAGATTATAGACTTTTACTTGGCCAACGGGCTTTTTCGTTGCGGATATTTACATACCAAAGAGATCATTCCGCGCTGGTATTTGTATACACGGAGCTCGCGGTATGTATAATGGCACAATATACCGCGACTATGCGTATTGTATTATATTATACACACATACATATAACTACACCGCAAACGTGCGCTTTTTATACATATCTACGTATACACATAATAATGTATTATTATAAAATATGCCATACAATGGTACACCTATACATAAATATTATATTTCAACCGAAAATATATTATATATTATATATTTTTAGATTCTGAGCGGAGCGGCAAATATATTGGTTTTACAATGACATTTATTTTCTTTTTGTTATTTTTTTATATAGTGTACAACATTTCTACCGGAAGAAATCTGATGTAGCACTTTTTCCAATAGGACATGTTATCTTCTTGGTACTTTAAAGACTACATTTTTTGATTTTCAACGCGGTGTTCATAATAATTGTGAAAAATGTAAAAAAAAAAACGGGAAAACAGACGAAATGTAATATTTTCAATTTTTATTTTTATTAGAAAGAGTTTTTGGCTATTTGGCCATTGACTGACAGTACATTTTATTCATTCATTAATATTTAGGAATGTAATATAAAAAAAAAAAAAGAATATAATATACAGTCATATCATATGTTTTACATTTGGTTACAATAGATTGCCTATAGCGATTTCTTCCACAAATTTGAGGACTTACTTATTGGCTATTTTGTTTTGTCCTAGGGGTCAGTGTAGGTATGTTGTGACGTCATGTTTGATTCTGGCTTCTTCTTCTTCTTAATTTTGTTTTTTTGCTGTGATTCAGTTAAGCATGTTCGTAGAAACTTGAAATTTAGACAGAAAATTCATATTTGTCTTTTATAGATGTTCAAAATATTTTAACCATTTTTGAGCTATTTATAGACATTTAAATTTTGCGATTTTTTAACGTAATTTTTATTCGGTAAATACTTTTTGGATATAATTAATAGACCAAATAAAAATGCTTAAACATTTAACAGGAGGTTCATTACAAGTCGTATTCTGTCGTAAAAAAATAAAAGTTGAAAAACTGAGTGTATTATAAAATTTTTTTCATAAGAATTTTAGTGTACAATTTTGACGAAAATCGTAAATATTATGGCATTTCAATGTATAACCGTACTCCATTCAGAATTGTTTTTCGTTAGCAAAGATTAATCGTTGCGTACAGATATACATTAAATCTTTACTTATATCTTACCTTCTTAACTTCTCACTACTCAACAGTGTCTCACCTATCGTACGAAGTATGTCTTTTTTTATGTTATACTAATATAGTAGCAGGTATACACCGACAAAATAATTGAAAATTATAAATTTTACATTTTTTAGGCAATGCCATTTTTGGGTATATTAGGTAGTGATAATACTTATCGATTTGAGTTGAATTGACACCATATGATGTATAATGTTTTCATTATATAAACCCATATTATTAATATTTTTACGTGCGTTCTTTCAAAATACACAATTTTATATTTCTCACGTATAGACATCAAAATGCCTCGTTCGTATATGATTAATATGATTTACATTTTTACCTAATATCAGTACAAAGTACCTACGGTAGTGGAGTAACTAGGACGTTACTTTGAGGAGTGATATGAATATTCAAAAAATATCAAGAAAAAATCATAACTAATATATCAATATATCAAACATTTAGATTAAAATAGTATGTTTCATTTGGTATTTTGCAATAGGTATGCATTGTGTTTAACAAGTTATTACAAAAAATAAAAAAAGATCCTGGTTCTAGACCTCTTTAGGGGGTAATATATTACCTACATTATTCTATTTGAGAACACCACTGACTTACGACTAGGTACCTATCTACCTTATTAATATTAATATTTCATTATAATAAAATGCAATTTTATACGTAATGAAGTAATTAAGGTATATATTAACATATATTACATAGTATATAAACAGAATATAGTCAATAATATCTATTAGCAATCAGCAGCTCGCTTAAATAATTATACAGAACGATAACACTGCTATAATAACCGTTTCAAGGTAATAACTTTTCTTTATAACCAGTCAAGTTAGAATTGATAAATGTTAAAATATTTTAAGTTGCTTAATTTAAATTGCGAATACATAATGTGATTATAAAGTTATTGTACAAAGTAGGTAGGTACTTAATTGATTAACATTAATATCTTAATTTCGACTCGTTTTACTATAGCAGTGTTCGTGTCGAAAAGTCTCGCGGTAGTTAAATTATTAATCAAATAACTTTTTAAAATTATACAGTATCATATCATAATATTTATTTATATTATTTGTCAGTTTTTAGTCTGTATCAGTATTTACGCGAATGGACATCGTGACACTGGATTTTAGGTTTATTCCTACGTCACCGACTCCCATTTTGCTGACATCCCATTTCACTGACTACCATTTTGCCGGCAACATTTTATTTTGCTAATAAAGAGTGATTCATTTAGAGGTACTTTTTTCAAGAATTAAAAAACAATAAAAAAAAATTCAATTTTATTGAGTAAACTTTATTATTATAAAAAAAACTATTATTTAAATTTTTTTTTTAAATATTATATCTTTTAAATGTTGGCCGTAACTGCGCCTAACATGATCCATTCGGAAGTTCCGATTTTCAATAACCCGTCCAAGCATTTCGACTGATATTTGGCCAATTATGTGTTTGATGTTGGCTTCCTAATTCATCTATCGTAGTCGGCTTGGTTATGTAGACTTTGGACTTTATGTAGCCCCAAAGAAAAAAGTCGAGAGGTGTGATATCGCATGGTCTAGCTGGCCAATCAATCGGTCCGAATCTTGAAATCAATTATTCATCGAATTGTTTTCGCAATAAAGCCAGGGTTTCACGAGCTATATGACATACAGCACCATCTTGTTGAAACCAAATGTCATCGAGATCACGGACTCAAATTTCAGGCAACAAATAGTCTGTTATCATGTCGCGATAGCGTGCGCCATTCACAGTTACGTTCTGCCTGGCCTCATTTTTAAAGAAATATGGATCGATGATTCCACCAGCCCACAAATCACACCAAACGGTTGGTTTGTCTGGATGTAATGGCAGCTCTTGAACCTCTTCGGGTTACTCTTCAGTCCAAATAAGGAAATTTTGCTTATTGACGTAACCATTAAGCCAAAAATGAGCCTCATCGCTGAACAAAATGTTGGTCGAAAACAGTGGATTTTCTTCAATCTTTTCAAGAACCCATTCACTAAAACGGTGACAATTCGGAAGGTTAGCCGGCTTCAATTCTTGGACGAGTTGAATTTTGTATGTTTTTAAACCAAGGTCCTTATGTAAAATACGCTAAGTTGTTGCATACGACAAGCCAAGCTGTTGAGAACGGCGCCGAATCAATTCATTACGGTCATCGCGTACACTTCCAGCTACCACCGTTATATTTTCTTCACTACGTGCTGGATGCGGCCTATTTAGCCGTATGTTATCCAATAATGAAAATTGGGTTTCAAATTTTACAATTGTATAACGAATTGTGTGTTCGGTAGGCCGATCATGCGGACCATAAGTTTCTCTAAGCTTACGAAAAACAGCCCTCGTAGAACGCTGATTTTCGTAATAAAGTTGAATAATTTGTAGACGCTGTGCCGGACTAAGTCTTTCCATGAAGAAATGTCAAACAACACTAAATAAAAATAACACGACAGTTTGATACGACTCATTCGTTATCTGTCATAAAATCGCATTTAAAAAAGGAACTCTTAATGAATAGCCCATTACTTACCTGTGATGTTCATCGCTTGAAGTACTCATGACTCCATCCTACTATAGCTCATGAGTTATGATAAAACAACTCGTTTTTGTAGGAATTACACTAGTTTACTTAAACTGTTACTGTACTAAACTTGTAATAATAATGTAAATAATAAGGAAAATTATTTTGAACATCTATCTTATCGTTAATTACCTATTGTTATTGTCAAAAGTTTTTATATTTTCGATAATACTAAATAAACGAATATATTTACTTATGCTTATGCCACGATTGCGGTGTTGACATTTCTTTAGTAATAATAATTTCTCTGTGACAATAATATTGAAATTCAAAATAATAATATAACCGATTTATGTATCAGTGAAATTGGAAGATTTTCAATACCTTATAAAACCGGTTTATTTGTCGGCAAAATGGGAATCGATGTGTGGGAAGACACGAGATTTTTATATTTAAAGATATAGAGTGTATAATATATTATTGTGTTACTATTATATGTACACTCTTGTCTTTGACAAAAATTGATACATGGGGAGAGGGGAACTCTCCGCAGCATATGAAGTGAATGTCCAGTACAACAAAATATACCACAGGAGTTGTGTGGTGTGTGGGGGAGGGAAGGGTTAGGAAGGTTGAGTATAAAAAAAGTCGTAAAAACAAACGAACGACAACGGATTCACGATAACGGTGGCGTAAGGTGTAAGTAACGGTCATAATAGACTCCCAAAGGTAAAAATCACATGTGATGACTCAGGAGAAAAGTCAATCGGAGTCGTCAAACGTGTGTAATGGCCGGATGTGAAAGTGTCGTAAATTTATCATATGTGTTTTAGATTATGAGTGAAGCGAAGAAGCTTATGGTTTTATAAAGATGTTTATTTATTTTTTTCTTTGGAAAACTTTTCTACCAGAGAACTTGCTCCGATTTTTACGTGTAGCATCTTGTCTGAAAAGAAATTAGTGTGGGTATTTTAAACAGAACATTTTTCAATTTTCTTAAGAGTTTTTTCATCAAATGCGAAAAATCGAAAAATAAACGGGAAAATTTACAAAATATAATAAATATACCTAATATTATAATTTTTTTTTCTGTCGACAACTTTTCTACCAGCGATTTTGCTCCAATTTTTAATGATAGCAACTTTCTGAAAGGAAATTTTACTGGAGAGGTATTTTAAAGAGGTCGTTTTTCCATTTTCCCCGGAGTTTTCTCAGCAAATGTGAAAAACTGGGAAAATCGGTACAACATTAAACAAGTATTATTAAAAAAAATACATATTTAATTATTTTATTACAATATGGCATTCACATATTGTTGAAAAAGCATCACTACCAATTGAACTCCGCTCAGAACCGTTTTTTCGTAAGGAATGGTTTATATAATTGCTTACAGGTATACATTAAATTACTTATAACATTCACTGCACCCATCCCTATTGTCATAAGACGTCTTTTTTTTCTCCGGGAACTCTTGTTCCGATCAAAACATGACAAAAGGCCTTTTTTTTACATTTTGGTTTTAGTTGGTAATTTAGAAATGTCATTTTGTGAAAATATTTGAGATATCGAGGAAAAACTGTTTCTTTAGGTTAAAAAAGATTAAAGATAAGGTTGTCATTGGTAGCCGTTTTCATTTATTCTAGGTTATTATTAAGTTTTTATTATTTTAATCTTTTAATCTTTTTAAAACAAACGTTTGTTTCGTTTTTTATTATTCTTTTTATTTTAGATTTTTCTTTGCTCAGAATCGTTTTTCGTTAGCAATGGTTTATCGTTACTTATAGGTATAAATTAAAGAAATAAATTGATTTTCTTTGTTGTAGCTGTAAACAACTTTTCTTCTAAAAAATTATGCATCAATTTCCTTGTAGAATTTTTCATCTCGTTAGTGCATTATGGAAATAATTTTTTAATTTGTCTTTTAATTTTTTTACTAATAGGAATAACTGTCTTTTTTTTTGTATAATTTTTGTTTATTTCTGGGGTACCTTGGGCAACAGGGGGGAATAAGTCTAATGACACTTTACTCAGAATCCTTTTTCGTTAACAATGGCTTATTGTTGTAACAGATATAAATACGATTTCTCTATATGTTCTCCCTTTCGACTTTTCTATTAAAACACTGGAACACATACATCAGCAGTATCAGTCTTTAAAAAAAAAAAAAATATATTATTATATCATCTAACTAAAAATTGTAAACCTCCGTGTGGCATAATATGTTACCTTATTCTCGTAATGAATAATCAAACACAGTCGGATTATAGATTACAATAAACCTTAACGACATAATATTATTATAAGGGATTATTTTTCGAGTAGGGTGGTGGTATAAATCGAACGGATTTAAATAAAACAAATTTCGACGTCACCACTACTACTATCACCACCACCACTGTGTCGTTTGCACATCGCGATGAAAGGAGGTTTATGGGAAACCGTTCCACGCGCGTCGTCCCAAGAACATTATTATTATAATATAATAATAATATAAAATAGCTCGAGCGAAAACTGATCCTTTTCGGTTTATGTCGCATTGTAATGATAATTACACGCCGCTGCAGCCCGAAAACCAAACTGGCCCCGTCGTCGCGACGATGTCGACGATGACGACAGCGGGCCTCCAGTCGTTTAATGAAACCCACCACAGCCACGGTATTTGCGGCTAAATATTATTAATATAGTCACTATAATGATTTATATATATATATATATATTACAATATTATACAAAGTGAATAATAACGAATAATAATAAAATTTGGTAGACGCGTAAAATATTGTTTCCCGTCGAGGTACGAGCCCGTCCACCTCGTTGTTATTGTCGAATTTTCCCCGAAAGACTATAAACGGAGACGCATTCAGGTTTTTAGCGTGCGGGTGTTATTTTTGTTTGGTAGCCACCTCCCTCCCACGACGATAAATATCAATATTGTTGAAAATATTATATTGAATAAAATGTAATTTAGCGAACCGTGTAATAAGAATTATTATAATATGACAATATTACTATTTTAGTTACTCACAGAAGTACTATATGAAAAAAAATGTATATTTTTTTTTTACTCAGATAAGTTCAGTGTTGTCGGATTCATACGAGATAATAACAAAAAAAAAAGAAAAACTTCGCACGATGTTTGGGTCGCTGTTGTATAGAAGAGAAGTTGGGAATAGGTAGGATTTAGAGAGGAATTCAAAGTATATATACTGTATACGTAACGATTAATCATTTCTAATGAAAAACGATTCTGAGCGTAGTTCGGCTATACGTGTTTTGAAAGGCCGTAATATTGACGATTTTCGTCAAAATTTGATATTAAAATTCTTATAAAAAAAATACTACATTATAAACTCAACTTTTTCTTGTTGATCATTAAGTATAATGATTTATTTCTGTTTGGTCTAACAATTGTATTCACAGAATACCTATCAAATAAAATTATACTATTTTTAAGTTCTACATTATCATTGTTTTGAGTATAAAACCATATTGGAACAATAGATGATAAAAATATATTACTATAAGTAGAATCCGGATTAGCAAATTTTTGTTTGTATTGAGACTGTCCTGATGTGCCATAAAATCCCCATTTACTTATAAGAATTAATGTCTGATTTTCAAAAAATGATAAACATGATTTATTTATCGATTGAATTATTCGACCGACTGTATGGTCAAGTAAACCTTGGAGTTTCTGCGCGTATTTCAGAAATATCAATATATTTTTGTTCAGAATAACAGTGAGATTTTGCGGCTCTAATATTATGATAAGTTGGATATAAATTAGCGTTTTTGTTTTTCGCCTGTAATCTAATTAGTGTATACTGTGATTTGGTTAGTTTTGCATCCATTACTAAAGCTAAAACCTCATCTTCAGAATAACGTACAATTTTATTTAGGGTTGTTAATTTTTATATGCATTCCTAATTTTATGAGTACGATTGGGAGTGGTTGACGTTTTCATCGTTTATCAGATTCGTACAAGAAAAAAATTATTTTTATTTTGAGATCATTTTCTATTTCAAAGAGTGCATTGATCTTTGATTTTATATATTGAAAAAAAATGTTTGGACGATCATCATCACTTTTTGATAATCTTTTAAGTAATAAATATAATTCTTGCCGGAAAATATTTATAGGTGACATTCTAAAATTTCAAATAATTTTTCGAATTAAAAAAAATCGTGGAATTATGTGCAATTAAAAATTACGTTTTTAAAAAATAGATCTAATTTCTGAAAATATTATGTAGTTATTATCCTACTAATCAATGCTAATAATAAGTATTTGTTATTTTTATAAAAAAAAATAAAAATGAAACATCTAAATAGTTATTTAAAATTTATAATTTTGTTATTAAAACAAATATGTAACTTATTTCATTTTTTAATACCATAAAATATTCCTTAGCTCGTTAGTTTTCAGATGGCACCAAAATCGTTGAAGAAATCAAAAGAGAAATGTATAAAATTCAATAATACAATAACACGATATGCGTGTACAAACAGAGAACGTAAAATAAATCAATATTTATGGGCATACAAACGTCTTTTGATAATCTAATACAAAACCTATGTGATAGTATTTTTTTTTTCGTTTTTGACCATTTTTATTTAAATCTGACCTACTGTGTGTCGTCTAGAAAAAGCAAATGCAATAGTTTTATGTTTAAATTTCAAGTATTTACGAATATTTTTAATTGAATTACAACAAAATTGAAATTAATACATTTCGTACATTTTCCCATTTTCCTACGTTTTTTCCCAATTATTATGAAAACCTATTGGAAAATCAAAAAATTACCTCCTTAAAGTACCAAGTAGATGAAATTTCCTTTCAGAAAACTGTGCTACACTTGATACATCGGAGCAAGATTTCTGAGAGAAATTGT